CCCCAAAACCCCAAAACCCCAAAACCCCAAAACCCCAAAACCCCACATTACATACCAAATAACGAATCTCTTGCTTAAATATTCAACATTCTGATTACTGGATTGATATAGAGCATTGACACAGCAGTTGTTAGGAAAGGAACAATGAAGCCTTTCACGAGTAACTGCAATGGAACTGGACTTTTCCTTGAGGCTAGTGCTGCTGGAAGACTGAGCAATGCAAATGCAATTATATTTATCACAATACGTATCAAAGCTTTGAAAAATGAGCTTGGCTTTTTAAATTTACTTCCATCTTTAGATTTCAAAACCCATCTTCTGAAGTAACATCCAAAGTAAGCTCCCATGCTTCCAAATGCAACGAGGTATTTAAACAGGCATGAATATTCAAAACTAATGAACTTCTTCTCATGAGGACAAGCTCTTTTAACTGAATTGATCCATTCTTCAGGAGCTGGGTCATATTTTCCAATATAATCATACATGAAGATTGCTGCTACAGCCATAATGCAATGAAGAATAATGAACCTATTGAATAGCCTAGTCTTGCCAGTCTCAATTCCTTGATACAGCTTATCAAAATATCCATCAAGAACGTGGAGGAATATTATATGGATGATCATTCCAAGCCCAAATCCTAGCAAAAGTTGTTCTGCAGTGTGTAATCCTACCCAAATTCTAGTGAAGCACATAAAAATACAGAAGGCATATCCAGCCACATATAACAAGAACTTCCTGTTCTTGATCCCATATTGTCTGATGAACACAGTCAGGAAGGAAAGATGGAAAGTTGTCACTGTCTGTCCATGCCCAGAAGGAGATCCGTACTCAAAGTTACAGCTCACAGGTTGATAATCTGTTGAATAAAAATAAGGTCTTTCGTCTCTTATCATCATTTTAACCAATAAATTAACTGCTACACCGAACGTTGAGACTCCAATTAGTGAGAGGTAGTTGTTCATGTCCAGCAATGCAACTGCTAAGCATAATCAAAGGAAGACTCCATATTTATCTCCGAGTGCACTGGTCATGTCCACCAATTTATCAATCTTTTCATGAGCAAAATCTCTTCTTATCAAGATGATCAAGTCCAATGAGCTCAACCTGAACCATTCAAAAACTGAAGGGATGCACACTACAATAGTCAAGATGGAGATCACTATCAAAGAGACATAAACAAGTGTCTTTGACTGCTGCACCTCATTTTGGGTCTGAGCCTTTTTAGGCATTTCAATTATTATTTACCCTAAAGGGGTTTTGGGGTTTTGGGGTTTTGGGGTTTTGGGGTTTTGGGG